ATCACGCTAAGCGGCGTTGCCAGGATTGAGGCTGCCTCCCTCAGTATGGCAGGATGAACCATGTCCGGGCCAGGAGAAGTGTCAAGTCTTAAGTGCTGCAGTTTCCGGAACACCAAGTCAGCGCTTAGGTCCACTTCAGAAAGTCCTGTGGAATTGCAGATGAAACTGTCGTCAATAAAGTTGATATCAGCCGGTTGAAATGTTTGAGAGTAATGGGCCGCCAGAAGGTTAGCGGCGTCGCCATCGTTGTTGGTCGGGCCGTTAGGACCTAGCAGTTGAGAAACTCCTGTTTTGGCTTGACGAAGAGAGGCTGCATAACGGAATAGGCTTCTAGGGTTAGAGGCGAATTTGTCCATAAGCTTTGTTTGGTACTGAAGCCTGTCTTCTCTTATAGCCTTCGTGCATGTGTTCCTGATATGTTTGTATTGCCTATACGCTCCATCGTTATTAGTTCGTTTGTATTCCGCCCAACAGTGCCGTTTGCGGCTTAGGAGGCGAAGGGTACGGTTCTTGATTACTGTAGGTGGCTTGAAGCTTTTGGGAACCGTTTGAGGAACTGAATGGTCTGTAGCACATAAGAGCGTGTGCAGCAAGAAGTCCCAATGACCATCCACATCGATTTGAGGGTGAACATCCCAAGCCACCTGTTGTAGATGGTCATGTAGAGCTCGCACATTCAGCCGTTTAAAATTCCATCGCAAATTATTGTTGGGATACCTTAGCTTAGTTTTGATGACAAAACTGAAGGCTATGACGGCATGATCGCTTTTTCCCAGAGGAGCCAGGATTGAGAGGTTGTCGACTAGGAATTCTTCGTTAGTGAATACACAGTCTAAGCGCGATGGTGTCTGACTGTTTCTCCAACGAGTTGCCGACCTCACATTTTCATATAAGCCCAAGTTATCGATGAGGTTGAAGAACCGAGCTTCAGTTGAGTTGTCGCCTCCAGTGTACGTGTGTTCCGCGAAGTTGACTCTAGGGAGATTAAAGTCCCCTAGAATCAGGATGTGTGTGAAACCGAGACGGATAGAGCGGGATAGTCCTTCCAGCATACGACTATCGTACTCGGTGTCGGCAGTTGGCTTCCTATAAATGACTCCGACTAGACACCTGGAAGTACTAGACAACCTTACAGAGCACCATATGGATTCCTCAAGATTGTTAAACTCGAGGTTGTGAACCTGGTGCACCTCCAAGCAAGAGCTTATGTATATGGCTACTCCGCCCCCAATTCCTATTTTTCTGTCGTTGCGGAACAAAGTCATCCCAGGCAATGCTAACTCTTGATCCGAGAACTGAGAAGATATCCAGGTTTCAGATATTCCTATCAGATGGGCCTTGTTAGCGTTGCTAAGTTCACGTAGTTCATCCAGTTTGTTTGGTAAACTCGCGGCGTTCATATATAAGCAGTTTATGCTTTCAATTTGGAACGCATGAGCTTCGTCCTGTTTTTCTGTATGAACCTTATGTGAATGGACAGGTAGCCCACCTATTTGAGGTTTGCCGAGGTGGTAGGCCCTGTCCTTTACACGTTTTTTTTATCGTTTAGACAGTCCACAAGTGGAATGGTCAGCTCCAGCTTGCCTTTGTTCTTGGTCCTGACTTCGTATGGCCTATCCGGGTGCATGTGGATTCCAGGTGGCAATCGACGTCTATTAGCACGAAATGCTTCCAGAACTGCAGCCGCCATGTGGGAAGATGGGAAGGTTATCTTCATTAGGCGGGGTCTAAGATCACCGTCCTTCTTGGCTAGTCTCGTCACATGCTGAGTCAGTATGTGTTTGAGCCTCAAGGACTGTTTGATGAATTTCCATTCCCTGATGTCAGAATTTGAGTGAGTAGGGTCTGCATTTTCCGGTATACCTTGGACAATTATGTTTCGTCCGCGGAAGAACTTCTCGCGAGATTCTTTAGGGACGTTACGTATGATATTGCGCTCAGAGTACGGTATGTCGGGCAATATTCTTACGTTACCATCTGATTTCAGTAAGTGACTTGCTAGCAAGACGTCCTCTACGTCGGTAGCATTCTTAAGTGTTACTCGGAGAAGCCTAGGGTGATTTAGATGCTTAGAATCCTTTCCTCGAGTGAGCCGGGTGACCGTCAAAGGCTCTATTCTAGGAAGTTCGAGCTTTTTGTTCAATTCACCCCACAGCATCCTGTCGTTTTTATCCTGCAGACTGAGAGGAAGGTCAGGATTGTCGACGAGGTTCATGATAATGAGAGAATCATCACGAACTGTTGTTAATTTACCAGGTTTCACGATGGGTTCAGGTTTAATAACTTGTTTTTTGGAGGTCAGTGTGAGTTTATGAATCTTGGGCTCTTTATTGACCGGACGAACAGTCTTGGGGGTAGACTGTGCGACTAAATCACCAGTTATTTTCCGTGCAGCAACACTTGGGTTGCTCGACTTAGGCGGTGATGCCTGGTTCTTTTGGGCTCTCTTAACGTGGGTCGAATCGCCTGCAGGGTTTTTGGGAACCACTGTTGTGTTCAGCGACCCTGAGCTGGGGGACCCGAGTTTGCCTAGGGAGTCTAGTACCGTCGACGTAATGATGGTACTGAGCCTCGACACGTCGTCGTTAGTGTTGATGGATGCTCCATCGATGACATACCTATCGACATCCCTATTTTTGAGTCCGTTGCGCGCTCTTGTTTGTATATCAGTTTTTTTACTGTCGTATTCCAAGTTAACTGACAGCTTGTTTCGAAGACCTGTCAGTAGGACAATGATGTTACTCAGCAAGACTACTGCGTCCGTGTTGCACGTGACACATACCCACTTTTGGTCTGACTTGCTGAGTTTGTTGTAAGCAGTTGCTGTCAGATTTGTGCATGCTTCGTGAAACCAACCTTTGCAGTTGTCACACTGCATGCCAGTTGTGACAGCAAAGCGGCATCCCGGACGTTTGCATGAGTTTTTCATGACGGTGTTGAAGCAAACTATGTTATAGATGCTGGCCAAAGCTTAAGACCTTTTAAAAAAACACTAAAATGCACACTGAAAACGGACAAAAACGGACAAAACGAGTGATATAAACTGAAACTAGTCAATACGTGAAAAACAAAAAAAACCGAATAGTAAGCTGAGGCAAAACCACAGGTAACTATTGAATATAGTGAAACTCAAAAAAAAGTAATCTACCGAACGTATAGCTCAGGATAGATTTTTTAGAACTGAAATGGTACTTTTGTTGCGTAAGAACACAGCAAAAGTTTGATATATGCAAATCACGTTAGGACTAAACTTCCCGTTCGAATATCGCGCGATGTGTGACTTCCCAGGAGTTCTTCGTGAAGAAACCTGTCAGTGTTTTAAGGACTCGGCAAAGTATTCTGCCAGAATACTCTCCTCAATATGTTGAAACTTCCTAGGTTCCTACCTGAAGGCATAGGTGATACACTGATGCTAGGTGAGGAAGTTTGTCAAATGAAAGCTTTTTCTATTATCTACATAACCACTTGTACAATTTGCTCATTGGAAGATTAAAAGATCATCTGCTTGGCCTAAGAAACTAAATAGAGGCTGACAGTCAAATTAATAAGACTTTGGAAAGTGAGTGTCATTCACTGGTTCTTCTGAGTCTCATTGAATTTTAACAATCTTTACAAGGTCACGTACCTATTTGACTGACTGTAGATCAAAATGGAGCATCTAGATTTTTCAACCCAGTATCCGAATTCCGCTTGCGTTCGCATGATCATCATTGGTACTATCATGATTGGTCTCGTCGTACATCTTTTATATTGCTACATATATTCATACTTAATCTTCCAGTATTTCTAAATAAGGGATTTGAAGCTTTTTATTTCACCTATTTACACAAATTGGATTTTCAGACTCATTTTTATTTCCATTGTTTAAATATAATGACTCCTAAATACTGCCTTTATTCTACTCTTAATAAAGGGCTTAATTGTATTATTCATAGCTGTTACTACGCAAAATCTTATTCTAATGCCAAGTCGTACTTAATATCTTATTAAATAAATTCATGTATTTTCGTCAAGACACTCAGACTTGTAGTGCTATTCGTTCCAAACCATAAGATCTTTGGAGCTGAGCATATAATTGCTGAGAAGATTTGCTTCCAACATGTAACGCTTAGAGAAGGTCAACGATGGTGAACGCGGGAGGTTTGGTAAGTAAATAAGGACTGGACACACATGGCATTGATCACCACCCAGTGATCAACCAATTGTGAAAATTCTCTTCATACTCACTTTTATGTAACCACTTATATAATCTACTACAAATGCTTATTTTGCATCCTATGAGAAGTTGAGAACCAATTTTCGTGAGGCTTAGGACACATAAAAAGCTCTGATAAGCAAGACCACATTATCACTAACTATTGATCAGTCAGCGCAACTGGTGCTGTAGTCCTATTGGACTTGTGTTAGGACCGTTTCACGCTACTTGATTTTGAACGAGAATGGACTTGTAGCGTGGCGTCGAGTCCCAATTGACTATGAACACCGCTACCAAGGAACACGCGCCAAAGAAATCAGAAGGCGTAGGTTGAACTTAACCAGATTTATTTCGTTGGCGATCTCGTGGTATCGAACGAATAGCGAGATCGTGCCAAGAAATGGTACAAGCGAAAACAGGAAAGGGGAGTACGTGCGAACGAAGCTAAGAACCGCGGAATAATGATGGAAGGTAATGGAAGCACAAAATGGCTGTAGTTAGCACAGTTAAACAAAAGCACGTTAAAACAAGTACTGGTATAGTTGGTTATAATAATGATTGTTTTCAATAAACCAGTCGTGTTCTCGTGATAAAAGTGAGTCACAACAGACTGATGACCGTGGTCAAAATAATGAAGAAGATTACTGGGGCTGTCATTTTTCGTCGACTTGAAGGGGTATTAAATCTTCACAGTGATGGGAATCGGAAAGTTTAACACAGGTCACTTGATATGCCATTCTTATCTTCAATGACTAAGGGTTGAAACACCATAAAGCGCCAGATCCGACCTGTGCGTTGCGTCTAGTATTCGTAAGCGTAAAACATTATTCCGTTTCATATTCATACGTCAGATATAATAATGCATAATTCTTATTAAAATTACAGCAGTGCAATTTCTGTTTTTCAAACCATAATGGGATACTTGACATTGTTTTGATTGCTGGATTTGTAGTGAGATATTGAACCCTCATAACACTAAAATCTCATGCAAAAAGAATAGGTAAATGAAGTCAAACTTTTGGGAAATATGCGAGACACTGATTAAAAATTCTGATGTCGATTCTCTGATGTTGCCACCGAGATTCACTCTTTTCAACCAGGATGATGAGACAATGAGGTATTTCGCCTAAATATCCATTGTGTGGCGATCATTCGACTGATGTCGTAAGCGTAAAAATCCGACTTTGATAGTTTAATCGTGTTATACGAATTTCATCCCAGCGACTTTTGGGTCGTGCTTTACTTGTCGATAGTAAGACTGGTTGAAAAAGTAAAGTGATTTATTCATAACAGGACATCGGAGTATAAAAGAAGGCTGTAAGAGAGTGGCATCCGTCAAATCACCACGGCTTTCAGATCGAGGTCTTATACGCGGTCCAACTGGATGGCTTCAAGCGGTGTCAGACATGGCTCAGAATAATAACCAGTGGCAGTTCTGGTGTAGTTCTTTATTAATTTTAAAATAAACTCACCTGACTGAACGAATTTTTTTTCGGCCGTATTTTTAAATGAACTGTATCCTTCGTCAAATACTATTTTCGTTTATCCAATTATTGACTAAATGACTCACTTCGTTATTTCGTAATATTATCAGTTCATTTTTGTTGGGCATCATTTTCGGTGCCCAAATTTATCAGAAAACACATATGCTATAAATAAGCAAGAAAAGTGGTGGAAGCTCACGTGTAAAGTATGGTTTACGGCTTTATACTTTTTCATGTTTACAGACCTCCAAAGTGATGTCCCTTGCGTTTCTCAATTGACGCTGGGTGAGACTATAATTTATGGACGAACCAATTATATTTACGATAACAGATCTTGGATTTCGACGCGAAATGCGACGACGTGTTTCTTTATTCTCTCGCAACCTTACGGAGCCGTTTGGCTGAACAGCACATAGACGACTGTTAACGGGGATCAATTCTAAAAGTGATTGTTCTCATACTTGGTGCTTTGCCTACACCTGTCAGTCTACAAGAACTTACCGTTGGGTTGCCAGAAAATTGGAGGGTTTACCGACGGCTTCCCGTTTCGGCTTGTTGAGGTCAAGTGGATGGTCATACTAGGATCCTGTATGTGTTTCAGAGACACAGCATACATCAATGGTACGAGATTCCAGGGTCTTAGCCAAGAAGGCCTGTTGTTCGACTTGAATTAGGGTGCGCACGTTGGAGGCTCCAAAGTCTAGTTTGGAGTGAGGTGCTAGTTGACCCGGGGCAGTGTTTTGCGCATTAGAACCGTTGGTTCTGGTGACACTTGAAGAGGAAGCCAAAAGGGGAATTTTAGTGTTGAAAGTCGATGTAAGAGAAATAATGGGAATTGGTTGTGAATACAGTGATCTTGAGTGCTGTTAGAGGTATGAGAGCGGTTGCCACTTCCTTCTAGAGATAAATGAAAAAAATGGGGTCGGAGTTGCTCTTAGTGACCCGAGAGCGTGTCCAAGGGACAACTGTTTGAAGCTGGTCACGCACGACCTTTTGTGGGCGATTTTTGGGTTAGATTCGTACTTGTTGAGACCTTACCGCCGGAGACGTAAATCCGTGAGATAAAACGAGCTGTGCATTCCTAGGGTCGGGGTTTTCTAACCCCACCCTTTGTAGGAAGGCAGCATCGCTGTCATGCTGGTTACCTGAGGAAATACTCTTCTGCCGTCACACCTATGTACAGTCAGCAGTATAGCTTCTCCCTCGGAACTTGAATTTGCTGCTTCTGGTCTTACCGCACTTCAACCGATCTGCTTAACATAGTAGGACCTTGAGGGACAATTGTTCCAACCGGTATGGCTCGATTGGTTCATCACGATAGGCGAACCCGACCACCACGTCAAGATAGCAGCAATGGTCGGGAGGTTACAGAATAAAAAACATCTTCGTTCATTGCAAAATATTCTGTTGAGACCTGTTTTAGAGGTCATGTCAAGTCAGCCTTTATAATGTTATACAAAAGTGTTCCAGTGCTTATGCTAATATTGACTGTAGCCTTGACCATGCGAAAACTAAAACTCACTTCATGTGTTCAAAACAATATGTTCTTACTCTTACCCTACCTTGGTAGTATTGATTTATGCAGTGCGGTTTTCATATTATGTTCTTTATTATTATCTTTGTCTTCGTTCACCTTCTAATTTGTCCAGCTGACCTTTTATTCTTTCATAGACAATGCTTTATTAAGTAGTGGGTGTTGTCAGATTGTTCGAAATGCATTCGGCAAGTACATCGCGTATTTCTGATGACCTTCGTCCTCATTTGTTTATCAAAAAGTAGTCTATTTTGTTGATTGATTTCCTTCTTTCACAGTAACTGGGATTGAAAATTTGGGTTATTCATACCTATCTTAGAAATCATGGTGATTCCATTCTTTAGGTTAAATAATACATATGTTGTCTCATTGTGCTAGTAAAGTTATTTGTAATTTTTGGTGTCACTTGTATTTTTGGTACTAAGCAAACTACTAACGCTGATTCATTTTGATACTATAATTACGTATGTATCTTACAGGTGGGTATTTTACTCACAGGACTTAAGTACAATACGTAACGTGCAGCAGGAAATATGCTTTCTGGAATTATCTTGTGCAGGAGAATGTTCAAATATGCTTCAACCATCCAAGTTAGTTTTTTAGAAACTTGAGTCATTAATTCAGGTCTGCAATAGACATGTAAGAGTTCAATGGTGGCCGACGTTGGAAAATCCATGGGTCGAAGACTCTTTGACTGATGATGATCTACTGAAGAGAAAACCAGTGGATTATGAGATTAGTCAAGCAGAATATGTATGGGTAGAAAAAATTTTGAAGAACACCAAAATCCCGTTTCCTAAAAATATTGTGGCTCCTACTCCTAGTGGCTGGATACCCCCAATCCGTATGCAAGCATTACTTTATTTTTAATGCTTTAACTTAATTCTTCTCACAAAACAGATTGCAACGAATTTCAAAGTCTAGATGATTATTTCCAAGTTCTTTTTGTCGTAGCAATAGTTTTTCGAATTATTTTTACTGCCTACTAAAGTCGAGTAATGGACATATATTTACATAAATAAGTAGGCGGTATCACGTGTCAGTCAGTTAATAGGAAATGTTTTGCAAGGTTCATAATAACAGTTGAAACACCTAAAACAAAATAAATTCCATTTATTCATTGATAAGTTATTGATTATCAATTCTGTCGTATTGATGAAGTGTGAAAAGATACTACAAAATGATGTCTGTTAAAAATGACTACTCAGATTTCCACCAAGTGTGACAAAAGCCATCGTGATTTGCATTGTGTCTAAAATGTGTTTACGTCTAGGTATCATCTAAAATCTTCAGACGTTGGAATATAGTTGTGAATCGGACTTTCCATGCTATATAATTCGACCCATCCCCAATCGCAGTTCTTCAGTCCCACGATCGTTCATTCATAAACATAAGCTAGCTGTCTAAATCAATTTTGAGATTGCCAAAACCTAATAATGTTGTTTTAAAGCTATACGTCCTCAAGAGTTGTCAGGAAACAATTGCACTGATACCATGTTAGATTACACTTGATCATATACATATTTAGTCTAGACATTAATTTTTGTGATGATTACTGATATTTCACAGTTCCTTGAAATCGGGAAATATTATCGCGACTTACCAGCTTTTTATTTGAAACTACTTCGTCCAAGTATTTTAACTTTAATAAACGTATGCTGTAAAAGTTCAGATATTTTCTGCTAGATGATGAGTCATCCGTACAGAATTCGTAGTAGCAACCACTTATCCCCCGCTCTATGATGTTGAGATTTAGATCAATCAATCAACTAATTTAATCTGATGACTGACATCAGCTAAGTGGGTCACAAGAGCCCGACTCCTTGATCAGTTATAGCAATACAAATAAGAAATTCAAATACTGGTGACTAAAACGTCCGTATTTGTGCGTAGTTTAGTGGACCTTCCGGACGTTGACAACACGTAATTCCTACTTTAGAGGCTTGAATGCATATGCACGCAATCCTGACTGACCATACTGTGTCATTCATTGATCCCCAGTAAGGCCTTCCGTTTGTGATAGCATCGAGGATTGGTAGTTCATGCTAGCATCCGTTGGTTCATCTGGATCCTTCAAATGAAGCCATATGGATCCTACAGTTCATTGGCGAGCCAATATCAAACATGAAGCAAAATCGTATTCCCGTTTATAAGGATTACTTCGAAAAAAAATCAACCTAAACATGATCGTGCTTTCATTTAAACCGTATCATCTAACAACTTTATCACCCGATTTACCACTTCCTGACAGAAATATCATTTTGTTTTATGTAAAGCACATCATAGTTTTTTATCAATCATCTTGTAGGAAGTATATGCGATAAACGCTAAATGGTATAGATTTTAGGATTGATATTGTTTTTTCCTCCATTATATTTTATTGGTAAATATTGTACACTTCCTCTTATGCTTTTTTCTGCAAGCTGAACTATCAAAGGATGTACCCTATTCTGTCCGAAGGTCGAAAAATCACATGCTACCTGTTTATTACACAGAGAAACAGAGAAAGAAAAAAGAGCATACACATGGGACTCGACAGCTGACAGTCATTAGGCATGTTGATGGAGATATGCAAGTAAGTTACGCCTACATTCCAAAGTAATAAAAGTAGAGTTCAATAAATACATGAGTTATTGTAAAATGCTTATTATGCACTATACTCTCTATTTGACCAAGTGGTAAACTTATAAATTACAAACGACTATCAACCTATAACCTTAGGGTAGGATTTTATTCTGTAGACTGCAGGCATTATGGCATTGCAGTCTGTCATTGAAAGGTGTATTAAAAAAGTATATTACCCTTGAATAGGTTTGTTACTCGAGCACTACTGGTTCAGTCAGAGCTTACGGTGAACTTTTATCAGAATTGTCAATTTAAAGTGATTTTTTCAGGGCTGTCCACTTTTATTTAACATTGTAATAGACATTCTTTTGGAAATAACGCTCTCACTGTCCAACTTTTCAGGGTTGGTTTTGTATCAAAAGATTCACTTCACTTGGAATTTGCAGATATTTCTGTTTGGTGAAAATGCTGACAAAATATGGAACCTTCGAACCATCTTAAGCAACGAGGCAAAGTTGTTTGGGGTGTGATTCTCTTCCTTCAAATGCAAAATTTTACTTCAGGATTGACCTATTCCAGCGCTTGGATTAGTGATAGGAAGTAAAGTGATTAAGTGCGTCTCACCTATCTTAAAATTCTCATCGATGCTGATGGGCTGGTGTCTGATGAAATCTCGGTGCAGATTCAAAAGCCTCGATTGACTTTTGCTAACTTTTGGCGTCGGTGTGACATTCGTCCACCAAACAGAGGATGAGTTTATTGCTTATTAGTTCGTTCTGTTCTACGTCATTGGTGTGGAACACTGTCACTAAGCGGATACTCGTAGTTTGCCAGTATATGACCTTCGAAGCATCGTTTGTGTGTTTTTGGACAACTGAGTGAATAATGCCGAGATGGGAAATTGGTTGATGTGGTGAATATTTATCTACGGAGGTAGTTGGAACATGTGCCCAACTAATGTCTATCTCTACGGGCGACGTTGTTTAGTATAAGGGTAGGTTGGGAGAAACGCAGGGTAGCACCATTCCATGAAGTCGTTGGCGTATGAACTCAGCAGTATCTGCTTCGGTCTGGGCACCCGGGTAGTATCATAGCCCTCACACAATTAAAATGAAACGACAGTGGACTCAGCCATGTTAGTAGGTGTAAACCACTTGGTTGGGGTGTGTGTGGTTGTGGTAACCAATGGATAAAGATGTTAGGTGACTACTCAGAATCGTTTGCAATGCGCAAATGCCTTCACTCCCTTTTTTCCTGAAACCCCCTTATGACTTTTTCTCGATACCCAATCTTTTCTACCACTACTCCTGGATTTGTCTTGAAATAATCTTATCTCGCTGTGCTAACAGAATATGACAACTTGAACCGATGACCATATGTGTAAGGCTATACATTGAGTATGACTAAGGTATTTCACATTTTCTTATTAAATAAAATGAATATTTTACAGAACGTTTTTAAGAGGAATTCACCTCAAAAAATATATACGAATTCTCCAGCATACTAAACATTACAAGCGCTTTACGAAAATTGGTCTAATTTACTTGCGTTTTTGTTATCACAAGGACATCTACTTGCATACTTCTTAAATTATAGATAATAAAAAACTACGGTATCTTTACATTAACTCAGGACAACATAAAATAGCTCAGGTTTTGCCACAGATACCTAATATCACATTACATAGTTAAAACAAGTTGTATGAATTCCTTAGCATCCAATCGTTTTAAGAAAAAAACGGTTTTTGAAGTAAATCAATAAGTCAACCCATTTACTATAAACGTAATAAATCATTTATTCAGTGATAAGCTTAGGGAATCGAAGTAGATTCTTTCTTTTGTTTACATGTTTATGTAAGAATGACAACCATATTTTACAATATTACAGGCTCTGGCTGATGATCTCCGGACTCTTCTTCAACCGAAATGCGAAGCTGGGTTGTTTCTTTGCCAAGTAGATGAAGTAACACGTTGTATAAAAATTGAAGGGTTATTTCAAGAAGAGGTAGCTAAATTTCTTCTTAGTAAGGGGTTTTGAGAGTTGTACAAAAGTAATCATGTATATACTAAATAAACAATGTTCTCGCTATACAAAATTTTATTCTATGACAGCTTCATCCCACGGTCCATGGATAGTCCTGTTAGGAAGAAACAAAATCGAAAATTTGTGAGGGATTGTGATCACACAATATTAAATTTTTTTCAGGGTCTATATCGTTTATTGTGCTCGTGTCAGTGCAGTTTTTAATGGAGCACTTATTTTAAACAGCAGCTTGTTTATATAAACAAACCGACCCTAAACACACACAAGCATCATTGTGGAAACTAATGGTACTAGAATCATAATGTACACAATAAAGGTCTTAAACATCTACAATGACGTGACATTTTCTACCAAAGACTACTAAGTTTCTATTCAACTGATGTCAAATGATAGATTGTTTGTAACTGGTGCAGGATCATATGATAAAAAAACTCATGTTTTGACATGGAAAGTCTCTAGAAGATTAAAATACTGAATTTTGCAACGGCTTAACAAGTTGTGAGTATTTAGAACTTGTAAGAAAAATAAGTTACAATGAAAAATGCAACTTGGAATTCGACATTTGATTGACTCACAAACCTTTTAATTTTTTGCATTCTTAATAAGTAGCACGGTCCAACAAAATTAATACACAGAGTAGATGTTATGAGTGCGCAAAGGAAGATGCATCTATATTCGAATGATACTTCACTGTAAACTATCGGCCAAGCACTCAGAAGAATTGTAGAACCAGATAATATGGTTAAGCATATTTGTGCTCCATCACCTCCATTATTCTGAAATGCGAATAAAAGTCAATAACAATATAAAAGTATTTTAGAGAACGTCTTTTTGTGCTATCTTTATGTATTTTGTAGATTAATTAGCTTCAGTGAATTAGAAACTACATTTAGGTTGGTGTCACATGAATTATGGAATAAATGTATGTAAATGATTGCCCTGTATACTGTTTTTTTTGTATAATAAATGACGTTGTCTTTTGAGACATGAAATTGATTTGCCTAATATTGAGTTGAGTAACTGTGAGGATGACCCATGGGTGAACTCGAGGAAGTGCCGAAGACATTCTATCCAGTCATCCTTTGGAAGAACATTCCAGGATCTCTGCGTGTACCTTCCCTATTAGACAAATAATAAAAACCACTGTTCACTGATTGGATAACTATAATGATGATTTCGCCTTCACTAAAAACTATAAATACCTGGGAGTTTTGTACTATATTTGACACTTTGGAATAGCATTCTTCTCACTCGTCTTTTCATTTGCAGCTTGGAGGGTTCTAGCGTTCGAGTGCTCAAGTTGTACGTGGTATATCAAAGAATCTAAGTTCTGGACATAATAGTATCCAAACTTTTAACAATGTTAGTCAAACACTTCGATTATTTTCATTTTAGTATTTGTGGTATGAGTAATTCTTCGTCTACCACGTCGTACCTGTTGTTAAGCAGAATTATTGAAACAGGACGATTAAGTGGCTTTCTCAATCTAGGATTTATAGTCTTCTTACATGTCAGCGCTAAGAAACTTATTCTACTGCAGTATGAACAAATTTGTACAGATTTTCTAATACTTGAACGATGTACACAATTCGCTTCACATAAAAACGCGTGAGACAACGTTTTGGATCTTCACTGTTTTGATTCGGTTATGCAACTGTCTATTGTACTATACGTATTAATATTTGTACACAAACTTCATTAAGTTAAACTAAAACTACAGCTCTAACTAAACTCACTACACGAAAAATGCTCTTAAATCCTCCTAATTTACTGGATTTTGAAAACATTGAAAGCTGTGTCCCTACACTGGGATGTGTCGAAATTATTTTTGATAGACTATACAACAAAACCATATAGCAACTCTTACAATCAATCTCGATTATGATTAATTTTAAGCCCTTTTATTAACTCAACAGACAATGGTATTCGAACAGTAACAATTCGCATATTTCTTTCTACTATTATGATCACTATCTTATCTGTATAAACGTGTACGCTTGATCACATGACAGCCTACACACATATCTCTTTCTAGCTTAAATGTTGATCGCTTACATATCACTCGATGATTCGTTCTCTTTCCTCATGTATATATGTACTCAAATCATATTATTAGCCTTCGCCTTACCTAGCTGCGCCCTATTAGATTTGACTATAAATTTGCCTCTGTATTTGCTCGCATACACAAATCCGCCTCTCTGCTTCAAATTCGCTCAACGTGCTTATAGGTTTGTGATCCGTGCTATCCGCTAATAAATTGTAGTTGCCGCTTCTCATTGCCTTCTGATTTCAAACACCGTTGGGATTTATATAATAACAGTTGCATAGGTGATTGATAAACGAGGTAAAGCCACTACAACCATACTTACTGATCCCATACAACTGTAATCCTTGGTTTAAAAATTGGGATTTACTATGTCAAATAGGAAACCTTATGGAATTCTGAGGATGCGTACCTTGCTACTAAAGACGCTTCAGTCATGATCACACAGATGAATAGATGCTTTTATAAAACACATTGGGGCCTACAGACAACATAATTCTACAAGACTATCGTGAAAAATATGGCTTTCCGAATATCGGGGTAAGATGTGAAAATATTAACTATGGCGTTAGCAATTGAGTAATGCCACATTTACATTATCCACCACTTTGCGCTGATGCCAGTTTTAGAGTGGAGAATGAAGTGGACGAATTTATGAACCAGTTATAGCAGACTTAATGTGCGCGAAATCTGCATACAGAGACCTTTGGTGTTCACTAACATACCGTAGTTGTGCTACCCGCTAGATATTCTCTTGCTAATGAAAGGAAAATTATACTGTCCAGTGACTGGCTGTGCTCTGTTCTATGAATACGAAGCGCAGCGTTTAAGGGCAAAAATAATTAAGCGTATACGACCTATTTGATTAAAAGGTTTCTTTGGAGGACCAATCGTGTGGTGGGTCTACTGGATAAAATTATTTAATTTAATAATAAAATTCCGGATAAATCGTTCAGTCGTTTGGTACCGACTGCAGTGAACGAATCATGTGTTAGTATGACATTCTGGAAGTCTAAAAAAGGGAGTAACAAGATTAGGAAGTGATGACTGTAAGGATGGTCAAATAAGGCTAAGAGATATTAGCCCACCAAATCGGTTATTAGTTTTATTCGTTTACACAAGTGTAAACACTAGATATTTTAGACTATAGGAATTGTTGATGCAAAATTTTAAAAAATAGGTTAAAATTATCAGCAGAGTTAGATGGTAGTCAACAGTGCAATCTAGAGCGTGTTTCTCCACACTTGGAGCTCGTCAGTTGGATGTACCTGCATCAGAGTTGATGTTCACCTCGGGACTTGAACCCAGCACAATTCACTTCAAACGCCACCGCATTATCCATCTAGATACCTTGTAAATATACTTATAATGCTTATAACTCAACGGCAATATTGAGGTGAACCGGACATATGCCAGAACAGACTAATCGGTTACCCTAAAGTTTATTTACCTGTGAAATCAATAATAGAAGTAATTTGGATTAGTCTATGCTGTCCAATGCTCCACACACAGTTTCATCTGCTTAACCTATCAACATTTGCATTGAAATGAAAAACATTGAAAATACACAATATAAACAGTAGCAATCATTTGAAACAAGGGTAACTGTACTTACGCGAAACCTTCTTGTTAGTGCTGGCCATAATGCTAGTAAAGTGACGGCAGTGGAAAGCAATGCGAAAGTATGATAAGGGTCAGGTAAACGACTAGCCAAGCAGAGAGCAGCTAACAAAGCAGAACTCAGAGAAATAGTATTCGACCCAGGCTTTCGAGGATGACCTTTCCAATGAGTCTTATAATCAAAACATGTCCAGTACACAAGAAGAAAAAAAGTACACATGGCGTATATAGAGTCCGAGCTTACGCTCGATAGGAGAGAGTGCAGAACAGGAGCAAGCAGAAAGCAAAATGTAAAAAATACCATGCCCGACTTGATTTCAGGTATGACTGAAAATAAAAATCATAAGTGATATATAACAACAGAAGGAAACTTCAGTACTCATATACGAAAGTATCAAGTGTAGTGATGATACTGTTAGGTTAGCAGTAAGGATATATCTCGAAATATCCTATGATTCACATCAGCTGTCTACTTAGATTAGACAATTGTTGACGCAAAAGCAGAGGAAATCGGTAAACTTCACTGAGTCACTTTTACGTGTAGTCGACTCGAATTTTAAAAGATCATGTATAATGTTTAGCATTATAGTTCAATATGTCTATTTTCAATTTAAAAGCTGAGATAATGCCGAAGATTTGACCTAATAACTACCTTAATCGAGTGATGTACAAAGTGGTTCCGTTCAATTACCTGTGAAATTTTATTTATTTAATATTGATATCTCATATGTATGGATATCGACTTACTATGCAAATGGCCTACTCATTTGCATAGTGGTCTTATCTTTGATCTTAAATTAATCAGGGACTTATGTCAATAACTCAATCTTGTGAGCAGCCATTACTCACCCATGTCATATATTGCTCATTAACTATCAGTCAAGATTCTTTTCCGTCAACTGACAATCGATGACTTATTGGTCAGATCACTGAAGACCTTCTAGATAAAAGAGTGTACTCAGACTTGCAGATTGCTTTTGTGTTCATAACTAGATATTTGCTCATCTTTCCACAAGTAGGCTACTTGTCACTCAGTAAATTAAACGCTAAAAACTGAACAGATTTCTGACTTGTAATCATATGTAGATCATCTGCTATTATTATCTATTACATTAATATTCCCTTATCAACAGGAAGTTTATGTACAAACTAAGGTCACAAGGGGGAGAAATGTCGGATTGTTAGTCCCAATTAAACTTAACCCCCAAAATATTATAGATATTGAAGCACCAAGAATGTAGTGTTTCTCATCACCATGAACTGTTTAAGCCTTATTAAAAAGCTACAGTACTCCAGAGTAACATGCGGGTAATTAGTTAAATTCTAATTTGTCTTACAGTTTATAAGTATTTACTCATAAAACCTTAATATATAAAATCGAACTTACGTGAAGCTTATAGTTACCTTTATGAAATTGTCTTTCATTTTCCTCTTTCATTGACCAAAACAAGGCATATCCAATAGTTATAAAGAAGAAAAGGTAAAGATTGAGATACTGTGGAGAAATCCAGCCGAACAGTAGATAAAAGTAGATAATTACAAACAAAGACAAACTGTACTAAAGTAGAGATGAATAAAACATACCAACAGAGTTGTTGATAAATGCTGCCAGCAGCGATTATAACATCACGTGCTCGAAGTTTGGGTAGAAACACTATTTCTTGATAACCAGATAAATTAATTGCAACTAACGGTTTTCTTTTAATTCAGACAAGAAATCTGAATCTACATAATTATCAGGTAGACCATGATTGTTGTATAGACAGTAGTTCCACCTTTTTGTGGGAGCAGCGTCCCCAAACATAGCTGTTTACTCACCAATCTTCGCACACCAGAAAATCACTAACCGATACATGTATTTTAATCACTCGGAGAATGCTAGAAGTGGAGTGGAAAGTATTAAAACTATAAAATTAGGTTTACGAATAAAACCAATTTATAAGATTAAAATAACCGCATAAAAAACGTAATATCTGTAAACATGAAAAGGTATAAATCCGTAAACCATACTTTACGCGTGAGCTTCCACCACTTTTCTTGTTTATTTATAGCATATGTGTTTTCTGATAAATTTGGGCACCGAAAATGATGCCCAACAAAAATGAACTGATAATATTACGAAATAACGAAGTGAGTCATTTAGTCAATAATTGGATAAACGAAAATAGTATTTGACGAAGGATATAGTTCATTTAAAAATACGGCCGAAAAAAAATTCGTTCAGTCAGGTGAGTTTATTTTAAAATTAATAAAGAACTACACCAGAACTGCCACTGGTTATTATTCTGAGCCATGTCTGACACCGCTTGAAGCCATCCAGTTGGACCGCGTATAAGACCTCGATCTGAAAGCCGTGGTGATTTGACGGATGCCACTCTCTTACAGCCTTCTTTTATACTCCGATGTCCTGTTATGAATAAATCACTTTACTTTTTCAACCAGTCTTACTATCGACAAGTAAAGCACGACCCAAAAGTCGCTGGGATGAAATTCGTATAACACGATTAAACTATCAAAGTCGGATTTTTACGCTTACGACATCAGTCGAATGATCGCCACACAATGGATATTTAGGCGAAATACCTCATTGTCTCATCATCCTGGTTGAAAAGAGTGAATCTCGGTGGCAACATCAGAGAATCGACATCAGAATTTTTAATCAGTGTCTCGCATATTTCCCAAAAGTTTGACTTCATTTACCTATTCTTTTTGCATGAGATTTTAGTGTTATGAGGGTTCAATATCTCACTACAAATCCAGCAATCAAAACAATGTCAAGTATCCCATTATGGTTTGAAAAACAGAAATTGCACTGCTGTAATTTTAATAAGAATTATGCATTATTATATCTGACGTATGAATATGAAACGGAATAATGTTTTACGCTTACGAATACTAGACGCAACGCACAGGTCGGATCTGGCGCTTTATGGTGTTTCAACCCTTAGTCATTGAAGATAAGAATGGCATATCAAGTGACCTGTGTTAAACTTTCCGATTCCCATCACTGTGAAGATTTAATACCCCTTCAAGTCGACGAAAAATGACAGCCCCAGTAATCTTCTTCATTATTTTGACCACGGTCATCAGTCTGTTGTGACTCACTTTTATCAAAGAGGCAATTCTCCGACACTTCCTCCCATCGAGGGAAGAACGATTGAGGACATTGTTAGCACGTCACCCCCTGGGTGATGCTAAATCAAGCCACCACCTCACGCTCCTGCAATCTCTTGCAGGATCAACAGCATCTGACTCGGAGATAGTAAAGGAATTGTGGCTCCAGTCATTACCAGCCCACATCCAACCTACTGTGACGGCCCTGCTCGAAGACTCACCGCTTAACCAGGTAGTCCTCATAGCAGACAAAATTTTGGCGAGGACTAGTAACAGACACAGTTATGTAGTTGCTTCAACGGCACGTCCTAAAGTAGACATAGATGCCGGTCACTCTTCAGCTCATGGCGACAGGGAAGGCATCTTCCAAGCCAGGCCGAAAGGCGGCTTCGGAAGCGAGTGAATGTTGGTGCTGGTTCGATAGGTCCTTCGGGTCTGGCGCCCGCCTTTGTTGAGCACCATGCTCATACGAGGCGGGAAACGCCAACACTGGCGAGTTAAAGCGGCCTTACTCACCGGTCTTTCACCCCAGGTTGGTTGCTTATTCTATGTGCACGACACAGGAGCCCAAGTTTCTGTCGTATCACGAGGTTGCAGCAAGTCACAAGCCACAGTGCTTCGACTACGTGCTGCGAATGGCTCAGTCATTCCTACTTACGGTACACGACAACTCGCGGTCAACCTGGGCAACCGACGACGGTATCTGAGGGCGTTCATCATTGCTGATGTTCCTACAGATATGTTCCTACAGCACTATGAATTGCTTGTCGATCCACGTAGGCTGCAGCTAATCAATACTTCGTCGAACAGTAAATTCATGGGTTGCAAAGCCCACACGAACGTGTACCGAACCCTCAGCACTTTTTACTCGCGTGACGATAAATTCCACGCTTTATTCGAGAAATTACCTGTACTCACTGAACCGCTCGAGGAGCTTCTATCGGTGACCAATCATGTGGTGCACCACATAGTCACCCGCGGACCGCCAGTCATGGCACGATCTCGCCGATTGGCACCGGACAAATTAGCTTTCGCTAAACGTGAGTTTGACAATTTACTAGCTACTGGTATTATTCGTCCTTCTCACAGTCCATGGGCCTCTCCTCTTCACATGGTGAGCAAAAAAGACGGCGTTAGTTGGAGACCATGAGGCGACTACCGAGCTCTAAACGTAGTTACGCGCTTTGATAGTTACCTCATCCCCCACATACACGACATCACGGCATCGCTCAAGGGCACGACTGTCTTTTCTAAGATCGATCTGGTACGAGCATATCATCAGATCCCAGTAGCTCTTGAAGATATCGAAAAAACTGGTATCACGACTCCTTTCGGTTTGTTTGAGTTCCTACGAATACCTTTTGGATTACGGAATGCTGCTCAAACTTTTCAAAGGTTTATCGATAGCACTGTACGAGACCTAGATTTTGTTCACGTCTATATTGATGACCTGCTAATAGCATCATCAGACGTAGATGAACATTTTCAACATCTTACGCTATTATTCCAACGCCTTTCGGATAATGGAACAGTAGTTAACCCGGACAAGTACGAGTTGGGTAAACGAGAAATAATATTTCTGGGTCACGTTATCAAGCAAGAGGGTATTCTACCTTGCGAGGACAAAGTGCAGGCAATAAAGGAGTACAACATGCCGTCCTAACTCAAGGAACTGAAGGCTTTTCTCGGTTTGGTTAACTTCTACAATCGTTTCATCTTACACGCGGCAGAACGGTTACGACCACTATCCGACTTATTTCACGGAAACCCACGCAGAATAGAAATGAACGATTCTGTACGTACTGCATTCACAAAGATCAAAACGGCTCTTCCGCAAGCCACTCTTCACGCCCATCCCGATCCATTAGCCACGCTTAGTATAGGGGTTGATGCATCCGATGTTGCTATAGGAGCAGTCATGCAACAAACACATCTCCGGTAGTTGGCAACCCTTCGAGTTTTCCTCACGACGCCTCACTCCAACGGAGACGAGATATAGCGCTTTTGGTCGCGAGCTGCTAGCAGCCTACTGCGCCATCAAGCATTTCCGGCACACAGAAGGTCGCAATTTCATTTCACTCACCGACCATAAGCCCTTAACGTATGCTTTGCATACCAAGTCTGACCGCTACTCACCCGAGAGTGCAGACATTTGGACTATATCTCCCAGTTCATGACAGACCTTCGTCACATCAAAGGCAAGTCGAACTGTGTTGCCGATGCTCTATCACGAATCTAAAAGAATGCAGTTACTCTGCCGGTGCTCGATCTTCCTGCTATGGCCGCCGTTCAAGCAAACGATCCCTGTTGTACAAAAACACCACACTCTACGTCCTTCGAGCATCAGGAAGCACCCCTAGCCACGACTTCTGGCACCATCCTATGCGATACTCCTACCGGTCTTCCTCAACCCATCGTACCCTCTGCTTATCGCCGTCTCGTATTCGATCCCCTGCATGGATCATCTCATCCAGGTATCGCAACTACATTACGTCTCATCGCTGCACGATACGTCTGGCCGTCCATAAATAAAGATGTTCGTAGGTGGGCGAAGCAATGCTTACAATTTCAACGATCAAAAGTGCACAGGCACGTAGCCGCGCTCCTTGGTACATTCGCTACGCCTGAGGTTCGCTTCGATCACGTCCACTTAGATATTGTAGGACCACTGCCACCATCGCATGGATATGATCACATACTCACGTGCATCGACCGTTTCATTAGATGGCTTGAAGCTATACCCATCACGGCGCAGACAGTTGCTCACTGCTTTGTAGAATGATGGATAGCTCTATATGGTTGCCCTCGACGATCACGACTGACCGAGGACAACAATTTGAGTCCGCATTATTCTCCTCACTTACTCGGCTGCTTGGTACGGAACGCATACGCATTACCACCTACCATCCAGCTTCTAATGGTTTAGTTGAAAGGTTTCACTACCAACTTAAAAGTGCTCTTCGAGCACAAGAAAACGACAATTGATACGAAACCTTACCACTCGCCCTCTTAGGTATTCGAACGAGCTTGATAGCAGATATCCAATGTTCCGCCGCTGAACTGGTATACGGCACGACAAGCTGGTCAAAGAGTCTCTGCAACGTTACTATTACGAGGTTTTCCCGGGAGCATTTATTGTCGCATTCATTATAAGAGTTTGGAATATAGGATGGAAAAACTACTAAATCTTTTTCTACTCTATAAACCTCTAGATAATAGTTACCTGAGTTGTTCGCGTAATCCGCAACATGTCTCAGATGGACCACTTTACACTTTGAAGTGTAGAAAGGAAGCTAACTGTCATCCGCTGAACTCTGAAATCGAGTCATATCCTGTCGGCCTGCTGGCTCATTGTCCTGGTTGAAAACTCCTCGCCACAGTGTCGCATCGTCATCTATACGCAATAGCTCAGGCGATGCCTGCGAAGTAATGTCATTTAGGTTAAAAAAATAAAAGAGATCCTTGTACTGAGCCGTGGATTAACCCCATTAGAACACTTGAGATGCCCATGTTTCAGACATTTCCATCATATAATTATTATTAGCATTACTCATTTCACTCAATCCATCGTTTTTCTGTTGTAAACTCTCAGTGCTCATATATAAGCAGTTAACGCTTTCGATTCAAAATGCATGTGTGTCATCGTGCTGTTCGCCTGAATGGAACTTGCTCATATGACCAGGAAAACTTCCCATACAAGATTTTCCGAATATGTAGTTTCTGTCTATTGCACGCTTTGTCAACTTGCTTTTCTGCTTGGTCCTTGCATTATGTGGCCTGTTCAGATGTTTAAGGATTCCAGCATGAAAGGGAGGTTTGACTGCACCACTTTTGGGACCAAAATATTCTCAAGCCTCAGTGACTGTTTTCTCAACTTCGACTCCCAACTACTTTAGACTGCATTATTGTGGCTCATGTTTCTTGGAATAACTTGGACAGTAATGTTCATTCCGTGCAAGCACATCTCGCGAGATTCCTTGAGGATTATCTTGTGAGACTGCCTTCTGAATGTAGAAAATTCTGCATTATTATTATTATTAGCTTTATTCAATATTATAATTTTGGTACAATATAGAATTCTCAGCGCAAAGTATCCGTTTCTTTCTTCTTGGTCGGTCCTGGCGATAAATATTGAGGAATCGCCAGTTAGATGTTAGCACTTCAGTGAATGAACAACTGAATAATGTACATTCTTTTCGTTGTACATTGCCAGCAACCATATTGTCTCTTATTGAGTTTTCTGTAACTTTGACAACGAAAGGTTGTACACTTTTCAGAAACGCAGCAGAATAGGTTATGCGATTAATAAACATAATGATATATTAAACCAAACAACAATAGATAACTTGTTGAAATATCTAGATGGCAGGAACAGGTAGCCCAGATGCTCAAGCAGGCCGCCCATAGCGTTCTCAAATTTCTTCAAGTGACTGGATATTAGATAACCCTCCACGGCAACAGCACTAGTGAAGTTTACATGAACGAATTTTGGTTGGTTTTGATGGTTTGTGTATTCTAACCAATGAAATCATGTGACCCTCGAAGGTTCGACTTCCAAACGTTTGTGGTGGACCAGACAGATATGAACGCGAAAAGTATAAACAAAGTTACTAAAGATCAATAGTAATATTAATATATACAGTCAATTGTTACAAATACAATAAAAATTTGGGACGTTACTTAAATTGATCAAACGTTGCGTGTTCTGGTTAGGTCCGGTAATGTAAATCCACAATTATAAATGCTTGGTGATTCTGAGCAGGTTGACGAACTCTCTAGTGATATAATCCCACGTAGAATGTGATATATTCCAATTACAGTCTATAAAT